TGGCAAACACTGGTCAATTCCCAAACACTCTCAATTCAGTCTGTTTCATTAAAGGGTAAGTGAGCCCTCTTTTGGCACCCATGATGCTTAGCAGCAACTAGGATCCACAAGAAAGCCGCATGTACTAAAGGGACCTACAGAAGGGAGAGGGGAGAAAGCAATAGCACAGAAGGGAGAAGAGCGCAATGAGAACTACAATGAAAAGAAATGAAAGAAATGATGGTTTACAACATAAAGAGCAAAGGTGTACCGCTGACTCCGGTATGAAATGTGGCCAACTAGCTGAGCAGGATCTTCGGGACACTATGAAAAGCAGAAACGAGGAGGCATGAAAAGACAACTTTAAATCACTGCTGTACAGGACAGCAAAAGTGAGAAACAGGAGTAGTTATGAAACCAAAAATGCAACAAAATTAAATGTTTGCATCTGAAAGCACAATTTAAATATTAAAATCTCATGCAGTTTAATTATGCGTCACTTCTTACAAACAGTGGGTATGACGGACCCAAAAGGTAAAAATGTCAGTAGTACCAGAAGGAGGTTATGAGGAGGTGTGTTACAAAAACAGTATGAGGCTGATTTGCATATTTTTTGTGGGAGTGACTTCAGAATTTTCCTCAATGGTATAGTGCTGCTTATTTTAAGAGTTTCACTGTAACTCTCATACTGGCTGGCTGGGTTAACTTTCTTAAATCTGGAGTTCAAAATAAGGTATTTATCAGGATCAAAGTTTAACCTTTAGAAGGGCATAAGTATGCAGAAAATTCCCTTGGTCATAGACTACTACTTAGTGCATCCTAAATGAGTCTAATAGTAATCAAACCCAGCTAATGCTTCTAAACAATTAGGAAATTAAATGTTTTTTGAGATTAAAGTTAACTAGACAAAAGAAATATTTTTTTGTTTGTTTGTTTTTCTTCCGGTACCAGGAATCGCACTCATGACCTTGTGCTCGCCATGCAGGCACTGTGCAACTAAGCTAAATCCCCAGCCCCAAGAAATATTTTTTAAAAAATCAATTTATACCTTGGAACCACTCAAGGAACACATAACAGTAAACATACTTTTCCATATGATACAAAACTTTCAGGCACCAAATTAAACATACACAACCACACACACACTTCCCACAGCCATTCAGCCCAGTGATTTCAGTAAGGATATAGCTCAGTGGCACAAGCGCCTGCCTGGCAAGCGTAAGGTCCTGAGTTTGATTCCCGGTCCCCCTACCACCGCCAAAAAACAATAAGGATAAAAAGAAACATCCTTAAGAAACAAATACACCTGTAGCAGAGAAAACACTAGATCAAAAGCAAATATAATTAAGCAATATATTAACTAATCATTCATCACATCTATGAACAGGCAGTCTTCACAAATAAGCCACTGGTATTGGAGAGTTTATTCCTAACAGTTAGCAAAATACATTTATTAAAGAAGGATAGGGTGAAATAATATATGACTACAGTCTATTTCCCTAATTTAATCATATTCTAATTTTAAAAGATAAGGAAAATATAAAACCTTATACAAAGTCACCTAAGATCAGTGCTATGTATTGAGAAAATTTAGATACTGACCCTGGAGCATGAGAGAGCACAGTATTTTACTACTACAGTAATGCTTTAAAACAAAGTTTAGAGGAAGGTGGGGGGATGAAAAAGGACCTGAAATGTGTTGTGCACACATACCAGCTCCCCACAAGGAGTATGATCAGTATACCTTACATGTAAGTATTAATAAAAATAAAAAGTGAACAAAAAAAGAAAAAACTTCAGAGTTCAAAACAATCTTCAACCTCCATACTACTGACATTTTGAGCCAGATGATCCTTCGCTGTCTGCACACTGTGGAACCATTAGCAGGGTTCCTACCCACCCTCGACCCACTAGATGCCAGCAGCACAAAAACCCCCACTCCATGGCCGGTTGACACCACCAAAAATGTCTGCAAGTGCTGCCGTGGGTGAGGGGCAAAACACCCCCGTCTGAGAACTACTGACTTACAGCATAAATAGAAAAAACTTCAGAATGAAATGGGGGGAGGGGCGGGTACTGTGTTTATGTTTTTCAGGTCTGCAAGTTTCAATATATTATACTATATTTGCACTTGATCACAGATAACATTTAAGAAATTCTACCTTTCAGAAAACAAACCATTTAATATCTATACTTGTCAGCCAAAGTTCAGATGAGTCCCTGAAGATTCTGTGAAATGCCAAGTCTTCCTCCAACCACACACAAACTCCCACCCACACGTGCGCCCAACACATAGTATCACAGAGCTAAAGTGAAGAAAATGTAACATAATTACTACATCTCCACTTCTTATTTCGTCAAATATATTAACCACATTGCTTTAGCTCCCACAGAATCCAAATGAATTCTCAACTTACTTCAATGCAACTCAAGTGCCACAATAGCTGCATCATTCTAGGTAGATAAACCTAAATATTACCAAGGTAAGTATCCAATTCATCTCACATTTTTCACAAACTATGAAAAACAAATTAACCATGATTCTTTAAAAAAAACCGAGAAGCAGATTTGTTTTGAAACAGAATCTGAGGAAGGATAAAAGGAATTTAAAAATTCAAAATCAAAGCGAATCTAAAGGCATTCCAGGATGAGGGCAAAACTCAAAATGCTTCCTCTGGAATGAGAGAGGAGAAAATGATACTTGGCCATATCTTACAAGAATGGCCTGCATAATCAGTCTCCAGAACACGTATCATAGGATGGAGACGGAAAAAAATCAAAGTCCACAAAATGCTAAAGAGAACAGTAAACACCCATCCTAAATACCTAAAATAAAATTTTTTACTGCTGTTTTCCATTTGAGATAAATATATTTCAAGAAACAAAAATCTGACAACCTGATAAATTCTTAATTCTCATAAAAATAGTCACCCTTCTGGTTCCAGCATGCCAGATTACACATTACATAGAAAAATCAATTAGGAGAAACACAATAATCCTATTTCAGAGTGCATTTTACTCATAACAAAGCCTTTTCAAAAAATCAGACATTTTAAGTACTAAAACCTTCATGTATAAATATGGATTAGGGCTTTTAAGATTATTTCAATTATCTTCAATACAATCATATTTTAGTTCAACGAGGAATTTCATTTAAAAAATCTATGCAACAATACCTAATGTTAGTTTAACGTACATGGCATATCTATACGCTCTATAACAACAGTATTACTTTATTTCAAATTTTCACTGTTAACCTCCTGGCCCAGTGAAAATAATCCTACAAAACTAATGCTCAGTTCTTACTCCCAAACCAAACAGAAAAAGCTGTAACGATCTGTAGCGCCAGTCTGCTTTTCCAGAAGTAATACCGTAAGACTGCTCAAGAAAAACCTCCTTCACCAATTAACGTGACTCAGGTGGGCTCGGAAGGGAGTAATGGCCACAAGCCCTTGGTCAGTGGCCATGATGCTCCTCCTCCTCAAGGGCAGGAGCTCAGAAAAAAGGATCTGAATCAGAGGAGTTCACCAGGCAGAACATACAGGGACAGAGGAGAAAGATTACTTACTGCAGGAACAAGCAAAACTAGATGGTGAAGTCATTTCACAAAAGCAAGATGTTTCATGTTATCAAGGCCTTCATTCATTTCAAACACACCATTGTTTAGCTTTCTCCCCAAACCATGCACAAAAAGAACTGTCAGCCTGCCTTAAGCATGTTCCTTCTTCCATTTGAACAGACATGATTCTTTTGGTTAATCTCTGGCAATGATCGCCATTTCACAACACATTGAGCCCGCCCGGAACTGATCAATACCACTACAGACGTAAGACTAGACTTTATCCATTTATTAACCACAAGGAAATGTACCATTCAGCAAAATTCTATACATTACAGGAGATTCCACGGGGGGGAGTGGACACACACACACACACACACACACACACACACACACAAAGGTACACAAAGGAAAGACTACCACCCTCTAATTTCCCTGTGGCAAATGAGATAAAGACATGGCCATGAAACCTGTCAACTCGTGCCCCCCCATAATTCTATTTCACAACCCAGTAACTGAATACTGAATATTTATGACACATAGATTCATCGTGACTTTTAAACTCTTTCATTTGTGAAACTAACTCTCCTCTGAGGCACATCTGCACACCTTTCAGCTAGATATTGTGTTCGTGTACAGCCTCCCAAATACAAAAGACTGGACAGTTTTTCCGACCACTGGTTGCAACCACAGGCTGTCCTCACAAAATAAAAATTTTAAATAGAAAATGGCCAAGTTATTCGTACCACCTTCGGCTACTACAGCCATAACAAGTAAGGCACATTTAACCGTAAGACCCATTTCACGTAAGCTGTGCTAAGCCGAAAACAATGCTTCAATACAAAGCGTTCGAAGTAAGTCTTCCGTAGGTAAGCAAAATCTCTGGCTGCGAAGAGCACACAAATGGTGGTTGCAAGCCAGCACACCACCAGCACCCGGCGGCATACCTCGTCTGCACTGGGTTATGGTTAATACTCCGACAACAACTATTTTTAACACTGCTGGACAAAGAAGTTGAAGGAAACGTGAGAGGAGAGGCTCCTGCATTGCTCACAGGATGCATCGTTTCTCACGGCCAGGATTAGGTGGCCACCGACTCGATCCCCGCCGTGATACTCACCGGCGAAGGTCCACCCAGAAAACCAGAGGACGACGAAAGCCGCCCCGGTTTGGGAGCCGCTTACGCCGGGTGACATTTCGGAATACTGCTTCTGGGTCCCAACCTTTGCATAAATTGTCACTTGTGGTATTTGCGGCTGAACTGCAACCCCGGCAGCGCTGTCACCCGGAGTCACGGCCGCAGACCGTGACTTTCTCACTTCCACAACAACACGGCGCTCCTCTGCGTCCGCCGGCCCGCCTCGGAACGGGCGCGACTCATGGAGGTTTCCAGATCGCAGGCAGGGCCGGGCGGCGGCCGAGGGGCTCGGCGCGGGCACAGCCGCCCGCCCGCCGCACCTACCTGAGGAGCAGGAGATGAGCACGACCGCGAACGCCAACTTCGCCGCGGCTCCCATTTTCCCGAGGCGCCGCGGAGCCCGAGGAAGTTCGCGCGCGAGAGCCAGTGCCCGGGTCTCGCCCGGACAGACCGCCCGGTGTGAAGTCAGCCGTCAGAAAACATACTCGGCAGCCCCGGGCCGCAGAAAACCTCCACGGGGCGTGAAGAACAAAAAGGGGGGGAAATGCACAGCAATAAAAAAAAGGCACCACGGGGAAAAATCGCCACGCGCGCGCCACACACAAAACCGAGCCGCGAGGAGCCGGCGACAACAAAAGCGGGCTCGGCCGCCGCCGGGACCGCTGTCAGCGCCGCGCGCCCGGCGCTCCCGGG